CAAAGTCAACAAACTTACACGGGGCGGGCAGACCTACTATACACCCAACAGGGTTTGAAAACTGACCCAAAATTCCCGTCAGGCCAGCCCACAGACGCCTCTGGGCCGGGAGCTGGGCAGAGGGCGGCCACGGGGCCCTGCGCTCTGGGGTGGACAGGCGCACTTGCGCCGGGGGGGGGGGGGGGGGGCCCGCGGCCTGCACTCTTGGGGCCCGGCTCGCCCGGCTCCGGGCTGCCGGCTCGGCGGGGGCCCAGCCTGTCCCGTCTCCGACGCCGACAGCGGACGCGAGGCCGCGGGCTCCTCACGCCGCCCCGCCTGGCGCTGCGGGCCGGCGTGCCCGGGAAGGGTGCCCGTCGAACCCGGAAGCGCGGGGCGGCGCTGGCGGTGCGCGTCCCCGGCGCCCGGCCACGTGCGACCGCCCGCGGCCTCTGCGCGACTAGAGGTCGAGGCCGCCCGCTTCCCGGAGCGGCGAGGGCCGCGGCGAGCCTACGCCACGCTGCTCGCGGGGCGGCCCGGGGCGCCCTGGGGGACGCCGGCCCGGGCGCGGCGCGGGCTGGCGAGTCGCTTCGACTGCTGGCTGGCCGGGAGGTGCGGTGCGGAAGGACACGCCCAGCGGCCGTCCCGCCCCACGTGCCGGGGCTCACGCAGCGCGGACCCGGGCCGCAGGCAGCCCAGGCCGGGCACGGGCCGCCGCCGCTCCCGCCCGGCCCGCGGAGCTGCCCTGAGAGCGGGAGGCGCCCTGACCAGCGAGCCACCCTGTGACGCCCGCGGGCGACCTCGCGCCGGCTGTCTCCACAACACAGTGCTGTTAAGTCGGTGGAATGAAGAACATGAAAGTCTCGGGCTTCGCCGGCAAGAGAGCAGCTTCTTTAGAGCACCGCTAGCTAAAAAGTGGTCTGGATGTAACGGATAATCAGGTGGCTGTGGTCAGACAGCCACAGCCATTCTAGAACCTTGCCATTCTGAGACTCTGTTATCACAGTGTCCATTAGGCCTCAGTAATCCACTGTCAACGCACTTTAGAACTATTCCAACGTTAAGGAGATTTCTGTTAATGGGCCATGATCCTAAAATATGACTGTGTTTCTGGGGACACATTTTTAACAACTTTAAGGCTGCAATGAGTGATTTTCTGGTTTCAGGTCTTTAGAGATTCCAGCTGAGAGACTGGAGGCAAACATTCACCCTGCGCAAGGCCCTTCTCTAAGGGATGCTTTCCAGTCTTTCCCTCAGGACCCTGGACCAAGGGCCAGCAGGTAGCTGCTGCTCCTGTGGCTCCCCAAGGAGGGCATTTGCTAGTACGTTCAGGAACAGTCCAACAAAGATGGAAAAGCAACCATGAATCCTATGGCTGCTGGAAAGTTTTTTTAAAAAGAAGTCCTGGGCTGGAAATGTCTACTAGTAATGTCAAGTAGACTAAGAATATAAAGGCCTGCTTCCAATCTCTGCCTTAGGCAATGAGGAAGGGTTACTAGTGAGGTGGCACAGGACTGATTCTTGGAGACATTTTTTTCCTTGTGATGCTAAAACAGATGTCAATTTAAACTTTGCCAACTTACTTTCATATTACTGTGATATTCTTTCCCCTCACCACCATACTGCCATTAAGAATTCAAGGTGAAGTGTGGAGATTAAGGAACAAAAGTGAGTTATAGACCTCATGCTGTTTGACTTTTCCTCTAGGAGAAAAACAAAATTTGAAGCCAGGCTTGTCTGATGATGGCCTGGCTGCCCTGACACCTGCACTTATTTGGACCAAATGGAATGGACTTGGTAGGGCTTCTTTATTTGAATTTGCTTCTTATTTGTTTGCATCAATAGCAGGTTGGCTTTTAAAGACAGAGAACACGCTGCTTGCAAGAGAGGAAGTGTGACTGGTTCTCTTTAGCAGGGGGCCTTGGAGTGAGGATCATTTGGCAGAGGCCCTTTCAGATGCACCCTGTGTCCTCCCGTTCAGCCGTCTTGGCATACTGAAGCCTCCTCCAGTTCCTGATTTGGTTCATTTCCTTCGAACTGCTTTCATCAGAAAAAACTGCCCTTTCTAGGTAGTGCCTAGATTTCATTTTAATAAAGTTAAAAAAATTAAAGAGCACTACTCAAAGTCTCCCGTTGTTATTAATAGGTGGTTTGGCAGAGTTGCTGCAGGCAATCCAATGCGACATGTCTCAATACACTAGTGCACTACAGTTTCACGTGTAATGTTAATTCTGTCCGAGACAAATCCTATCATCTGTGCGGTTTTGGAGCCGAATACTGAGAGCATCATGGGGGCGGGGTGGAGTGTCTTCCCCCTCCAAGGGAAAGTCCAGGGCCACCGGGTCTTTCGAATCCCACTAACCCAGGTGTGGAAATGGGGCATCTGTAGGAATCGGATTTTATCAGAACAGCTTGCACTGGCAGGTTTCTCGAAGTCAGAAGAGGAAAACAGAGGGGCTCAGAGCACTGGTCGAAGTTCCGGGCTTGGATCCTTTAGTGGCCCGAAAGAAAGGGAAAGAGGTGGCTGTCTGTCCTAAAGTTTTCTAAGAAAGGGGAGAATACGGGCGGGATCCGGATGAACCAGACCTTGCATTTTACCATTTGGATTGCTTCTATTTGCTTGGGATGCGCCGTCTCCTACCCTATTTCTTTGTGTTCCCCTTTGGATGATTAAAAACACGTCTACATGCATAAGCCACCGCCTCACCGTGGCACGCCTGCTTTGGGTTACATCCTGGCGGGCGTGTGGTGCGGGCTGCAGCGTGCGGCGTGCGTGTCCAGGCTGGTCGGTTCCGGTTAGCTGGAGGCGGGCGCTCCTGTGAGGCCTCTGCACTGCAGGTAACCGGAACGGGCTGCAAGGCAGGTTGGCGCTGCTTGATGCCGAGGGGACCGACTCCCCGTTTCCGGACCCACCTCTGGCCCTCAAGGCCGCTGTGCCAAGCCCAAAAGGAAACGGAGGGTTGTGGGGAGGAGAGAGGCGGATGCATCGGAGTGGGAGCGCAGGGTGAGCGAGGGCCTGAGGCTCTCGGGCTTAGCCTGGAAGCTGGGCTGGGGAAGGCTCCCAACAGCGGGCCGGAACCCGCGCACTCGCCCGGCTCCAGGCGTCCACGGGGGCCGCCCAGGGCGTGGACACTCTCTGCAGCGCCAGCGCTCCCCTCTCCAGTTGAGGATGCGGGTGCCTGGCCTCACCCCGGTCTCCGCCTAGCCCCTTCCTGGCCAGGTGTCAGGAGGCCAGGAGGCCCTGCCGTGGATCTGAAGTGGCCAGGGGGTGTTCTGGCCGCGGGGATCCAGGCGTCCGGCCACGCTGGCGGCGACTGCGGGAGAGGCCGAGCCGGTAACACCCCCAGAAAGGGTGGGGTTAGAGGGCCCCGCGTGGGAGCGGAGCAAACTATCGTGTGAAACCTGGAGGTTTCCAAAACCGCAGCTTAATTGACTTGATTTAATTTCTCTTATCTATGAAGGAAGAAACACTCCCCACGTGAAATGCAGAGGTCGGGAGTTTGTGGGAAAGATAAAGACCTGGGGCGATGGATCCCTGCAAATTGAGCTGCCTCCACCTCTGTCTTCCGAAAAAGAGATCATGCCTTTCTGGCCTCGTGGCTCTGATCCCTGGGAGGAGGCATCCTGTCGGGTCAGAACCCAGGTCGCACCACTGGGTTGCCCGATCCCCTGAAGCCGGTCTTGACCACAGGGCTGAACGGAAAGCTGGGGGCTGCAAGCCCAAGGTGCCCCGCCCTGACGCTGCCTCACCTGAGACCAGGTGGGAACTCATCTCCACCTCCCCGTCCATCAAAGGGATTTAACTGCGTGATCTTAGAGAAACCAAGTTGTGCAAAGATGATGGAAAAATTAGTTTCAGAATCTTAGACTTCCCTTTTTCTAACCTTGTTTGTATCTCAGAAGAAAAACTATTTTTAAAGGGTAACCTTTCCTTCGTGAGGCTTCTTGAAAACTGAAGACAATATGAGAAGTTGGTTATTTTGGATGTACTTCACTATTTCAAGAGAAAAATTGGGAGATTAAGATCCCGCATCTGGGAAAACCTTACAGACTCGATGGTCCCAATGTTACATTAGGATAAACCATAGTAGGATTAATGTTATGCCACTAGGTATTGGAAAATCTTGCCTTCAAATTTTATAGTAAGTGTTGGTTATAAACTGTCGCATTTCTTTATCTATGAACAGTTTAGTTTTTAGGCAAGACTCAGTAAAATTCAAGAGCGAATGCGCAGCCAGGGACAGAAAATGAAATAGCCAGGAAACCAAATGGTTGTAACTGCTAACCTTCATTGTAAGTTGCAATCAAGAGCCACTTAATTTTGGTCAGATTGAAGCACATAAGTTTAAAAATGAAATTAAATATTGCTTTCACCTGGGAAGCATGTGATCATTGCCCCACTTGTCTTTTCTGGTGACTGATTTACAAAACACAGGTCCAGCTGAAAAGGGACCTCCCCCTCCAGTACTGTAAAAAACTGACCAGGGTGCCTTATGTTCAACTACTGAAATTATAGGTTTTAGAAGATTTCTGAAACTCTTTTGTTCAGAAATCATTTCTGCCCGAATTGCTTTCAGATTCTGATTACACTCCTTCTCATGTTTGCCTCAGAAATTTGAAAGTTTTTTTAAATCCTCTTAAATAAGAGAATAGAAACAAGAAATTCTTGTCATTCTCATCTTTAAAGATACTCCACCTCTCCACCCCCCTCCCCCAAAAATTGATCTATTTTAAAGCATTCTAATAAAGTGTCTAAGAAACAATCCAAGTTTGCAGCAGGGAAAAAAATCCTAATGAATGTTACTGTCTCTAAATTCAATTTCAGAGCAATCCTGATGAAGTCACAAAAAGTTTACAAACCACCATCATGTCTAGTGCATCCACAGATTAACAACAACAACAACCAAATTAAAAAAAAATGCTGATTTACTCTGTTATAACAAAAAATATTTTGGGGGAAAGGTAAGACTGAATGTAGGCTCCTCATTGTTAAATACTGGTGTAAAATTAAACTAGACCCAATGTTGTGCTAGAACCACTTTAATATAATTATACATATCTGCCAAATCCAGGAAGAAAAGGTTTATGCATATATAACTTTTCCAGTTAACATCTGCAAGCATAAACAACAATGATCTCAGTTTAAAAATTTATCAGGGTGAGAGCCACTGACCAATGTCTGTTTACTGCTAGGCTTACCAACAGTAAGTTACAGATGAATGAGTGTCCTTTGTTTCTCTTCTCTCACTCTCCTTGTCCAGAGACATGTTGTCGTAAAGTTTCAGTGCAGCTCACCTCCAGCCAAAGGTAATCTTTTTAGATCTGTACTCATTCAGTTGCTCTGAATTTTGCTTATAATTATAACCTATTTAATCACAGAAGGGCCCCTGCAGAGGCGGGACCCAAGGTTGCATACAGTAACAGGAGATCACAGTTTTGAAGTCTAGCACGGATTAAGAACCACAGATGTACCATTTATATAGGACACACACTGATTGTCTCTTAAACTACATATTGAATCCTTATGAACATTATTTTTAAATAAAGTAGTGCATCTAGGACAATCAGTCGCACAATTCACACAGCCCTGAAAAGTTTTTCAGTGCCAACTACCAGTTGGTCATGAAACGTGAATGAGCTCGAGACACTGTTCATTCCTAAAATTCAACCAAGGATTGGCTAAAACATTGGATCACCTCTGCTTACAAAGGCTATGACCTTCCCTCCCTTCCCTCACGACTTAATTTTGTTTGATTTTATTTTTGGTGGTGTTTGGTTGCACATGGCTAGAATGCATTGGATCAATCACTTTGCAAATCAGGAAAACCAATGATCTAAAACTATGACAGGATCTTAAGTAGACTGGTTTGTCCATTTCAGGTTGCTGGTTGACAGGCCCCTCTAAGGCCTTTCACTTTTCCTTCTACGCCTCCCAGAACTTTGATCAGAGGAGTCTGAGCATCATCCCATCTAACGCTTTTAACCAATGCCTGGCTAAAACTGGAATGTCCAGCCCAGCATATTTAAAAATCACCCACAAAAAGAGGTTCTACAGGTCTTCACAAAACCTGAAATTTCCACGAGGATGTCTGGTCTTTATAATCCAAGCAGTCAGCATTGAAGTTAAGCTTCCAGGAGGCAGTTTGGTCCTTATAATCCAAGCAATCAGTAGTTGAATTAAAACCCAAGCTTGAAGCTCCATATCCCTGGGTGGAAAGAGAAGCTGGGGACTGATTGAGATGGCTGGTGACTGCATTGGTACCCATGGGACTGAGTGTGGCCCCTGGTCCAGGAAGCTGGTGGTGCATAGGGGTCAAATAAGATCCACAGTCCATGCCCCCAAAGTAGGAAGTTGAGCCAGCATATCCTTGACTATAACCTGAAGCCTGAGTGTAGGTCATGGGATAGGACCTCTGCATGCAGGAGGAGGAGGTGGACAAGGGGTCTGACAGTGGGGAGATGGAGGCGGGGCTCCAGATAGACACAGGAGCACTGCTGCTGGCAATGGTCGGGACTGAGGTGCTAGAGGAGGGAGTGAACTGGCCACTCGTTCCACTCTCTGAACTCACTTCCCGGGCTGGAGAAGTCTTCTTTTTGGCAGGTCTCACTTTGTTTTGACCTCCATTCTGCTGTTGCTGCTGTTGCTGGCGGCACTTAGCTCTTCGATTCTTAAACCACACCTTGAAAGGGAAAGACACTTCTTTACCATTAATTCAACAACCCCATGAAAGGAGTGGCTTCCCCATTATAAATCTGTCCCATATGAGAGATGAGCTAAGGAGACAATGCTCTGCTGCTGGAGACCTATTGAGCCATTCTCATAGTTGCTTTCAGAATTGTAAGAACATTGGAGGCTCTGTCTAAAAGCATTTTACCCCTCCTTGTTACTGACCCAGAACAATAAAATTTAGGATAATTCCCTGTCATATGGCTAATAATTTTCCATCTTGTTTACCTATTTTATCTCTACTACCGCTACACACGCGTGCACACACACACAGAGAGAGAGAGAGAGAGAGAGAGAGAGACAGAGAGAGAGACAGAGAGAGAGACAGAGAGAGAGACAGAGAGAGAGAGAGAGAGAGAGAGAAACAGAGAGAGAGAGAGAGAGAGAACCCTAACTGTATTTTTGAGACATTTTTGTAATGGAATAAATAGATGTCTATTGGAGGGAAATGCAAGAGAAAAGTGGGAAAATAATTCTACTGTTACATGTCAACAAGAGCAGCCTATATTCAGTTTACATTCCATCAAGGGGTAAAATGCTAATATGGAGGTCAGTCGCATCCCCTTACATTATGTCTCTCTTAGAAAATTCTCTAAGAAAGCTCCAAGAAGAAGATATTATCCTGTTGAGGAAATTAGTCTGAAATCCTGTTTATTGAAAGCTGCTCTGGGATAAATGGGGTGATCCATATGTTCTCTGTTTTGAACTCCAGGACAGACCTCTATACTGGTTTCCAGGATTAGAGTCTGTGTCTTCAGGGTGGCACAGCTATATATAGGTTCCGTTTCCTGTACTATGTTTGCTGGCTTGTCAATTTAAATCTCTGCCTGCAATTCTGAAAACTATCTTTTCATACTCTGCAAAGGACTAGCTATGTTTGGACAACTTCTCTTCCGGCTAAAGTCCTTAATATTTTTCTCCTCTTGAAGCAGCTCTCTGTAAGTATTGTAACTATGGCAAAAGGGGCACCCCAAGGCCACACTCAAAGCCAGGGAGAACCTTGGTTCAAGCTCCAGCTATAACTTCTTCCAACCCACTTTCAGAAAAACTTTTTTTCTGCTTTGGAGTTCTTGTTGATGTCTGCACTTTTCGCAAATAGTCCTACCAGAGGAACAGTCCCAGGACTGCACATGGGTTTGATGCTAAACACCTTCCCAAGAACTCTGTGGGTCTTCTGCTCCAGGGAGGAGGAAACTGACTTTCCCTTTCCCCTTTAGGCTCAAGTGGGAGGTGAGGAGTGCCAAGCCAAGGGGGTGTCACTGGGGACATTTTATAAGTATTTTATCTGTTAAATAGCCTAAAACTAGAAAATTCTGCTCAATCCCTAAGAAGTTAAAGAAAATACACTTTTATTGTGCTATCTTATTTAGTAAAAGCATTAGCTGTTCCTACAGCCTGGCTCTGCTTCCAATTTAGGTTATGACCTTGAACGATTCATTTGCTCTATTCCTTTACCGTACAGATATTTAGGTTATCTAAGACTCAAGCTTCTCCCACACATAAAAGTCTGTGAGAATAGCAGAGAATTTCTACACAGAGAACAAGGTGTAAGCACTACTGACAACCACTGAAATCTGCCTGTGGGTGGGTCTCTACCCAGCAGAGAAGGAGGGTTCTAAGACTTTGTCATGATAGACAAATTGCCAGTCTTACTTGGCAACCTTTGCTTATAGGATTAGGAGAGAATGAGAGGCCAAGGACAATAGTTCACTGGTCCCTGGATGTTCAGAGTTGGGATCCTACGAAGGCTTGGGGCTCTCTTGAGTCCGCTACAGAGACTATGTGTGGGGGTGGGCTTGAGGATGGCTCCTACCTGCACCCTGGACTCAGGCAAGTTGATTTTCAGTGCCACTTCCTCACGCATGAAGATGTCTGGGTATCGGGTCTTGGCGAACAGCGCCTCCAGCACATCTAGCTGCGCCCGAGTGAAGGTTGTCCTCTCCCGCCGCTGTTTCCGTGGGGTGGCTGCAGGACAAGAAGCCCAGAGTCCTTCAGGATGGGGGAGCAGTTTCTCAGTCACAGGGGTCTCTGTGGCTTCTCAACTCCCCAATCCACCTGTGTCCTGCCCAAGGCTCACCTGAGCCCTCAAGACCTAGCCTCTGACATGCAGGACACTGCCATCCCAGGGTAGCCCCCAGTCAGCCAACTTCAGAGACCACTCCCACTGGAGGGTCACTTGAAGAGAGCTAATGAAACAAATGAAATTTTTAAAAAAAAATTTTTAAAAAAATCCTCCAAAATCCACCGCCTAATGAAGTTAAAGATCTCCAACTGGGACCCTAGGAAGGAAGGCGGAGGAATGCGTATCCTGCTCACCGGTGTTAGCAAACCAAAGGTCTTTGTTTCTCCATCTTTAAAATGGGGACACAGCTCAAACTTCTACAAGGATTTTATAAAACAGAGCTGAATGAAAAGAAAGCATGGTGGGTTGTCACACCTTTGGGATTAGGCTGCGGAGATGCTAGGCCACGCTGAGAGATATAAAGGACACTCAGAGAGGAAACCTGGCTTCCCTGAGCTACTTCTGAGGAACTGGGCATTGAGACAGGAGGGCCAAAGGCCTCCTGCCCAAGCAACAAGAAAAGAAGCCTTCTCCACCTCACCCCAGTGCCTGTCCCGAGCCATTGGAATTAAGACTCAGCAGTGCGATTTCCTGCAACTGCTGCAGACACACCTCCTCACTTCTTCCCAGGGGGTCCTCTCCCTGGGCAGTCCACACTGGGTGGCTCTCAGCGACTTCTTCTCAAGGAAAACCCAGTGGGCATTTCGCCGAGGGTTGGAATGGGATGGTGTGGACTCGAGTCCAGTGCCCGAGGAAAGAGGGGGTTAATTCTGTGGGCAGGAGGCTGCAGGCTCACTTACCTGGATAGCCCACGGAGGGGTGCAGCAAGTCCATGCCCGAAGTGGTCAGACTCAGCCCATTGACTGCATAAGGCGGTTGCTTAAGATAAGACATCATGCTAAGGTTGTTTGGAGGCGCACAGTCGGCCCAAATCGGGGGAGAACCAGCCAGATGGTCTGGATTCGCCTGGGGTGGACAGGTCCAAGGTCGTTGGTGGGTGGCTTTGGAGTGGTGGAACTAAGGGCAAAGCAAACAAATAAACAGAGGAGCTGGTTTACTGCTTCGGAGACAGCAGCTCTCCCACGTTCCACCACTAACTAAAGAGCCCAGCCAGGCCAGGCAGGAGCTTTTAAAGGATTCACAGACACCCCCCTCCCCTCAACTTACCACAGCTGCCTGAAAACTGCAGGGAGACCAGATAAACCTGTCTTCCCCACCCCCACACTAAACTTAAAAAAAGAAGGAACCCTAAGAAAGCAATTACAATCAGCCTTCCCCCAGAACAAAACCTCACGCCTTCAAATGCACACCTCGCATTCCTATCCCAACATTTGCATAGGACTCATTGGCTGGCACTCGCTAATTGTCTCAAACAAAACTTGATTGGGGCCATTTGCAGAGACAAAGAACTCTTTGGCTAAATAAATAATGCTGATAACAAAGCCCATTGGTGAGAAACAAAGAAACAATTCAAGAAATCTACCTCTCCCCAGACTGTTGCCTTTCCATGGCAGAGATTTTAATTATCTTAGCTTTTTACCACTTTCAACTGCTTCTAACCTAAAACGTCAATGCATTTAACATCTAAAATACCAACTTGCTGAACAACAAACTTGAGAAAACTGCCCTGCCACTATTCTTCCATGTTTAAAGTCATTTCCAGTAATCATTTTCACCTAATTAGTAGTCTGGATAATTAGATTTCGAGGTAAGTAACAGATTTATTAGGGTTTTGGAGAACCTTGATTATATGTGTCTGAAGAACTAAAGCTAAACAAACAATCATTTAATTTTTAAGCAACACCCATCAACTATTTAAACATACTGCAAAAAAGTCATCAAGATTGGCACAAGGCTGGCCAGAAATTCTTTAGTAAAGTGAGAATCGCGGCAATCAGATAATAACAAGCCCACATTTGCAAGCACAGGGTGTGCGTTTGTAGTGCCAGCCGCTTCCATGTTGATCTAGATGTGTGGAGGCTGTGGATCTGTGGAAGCACATTTTCCGACATTTGGGTCCCCAGCAGCTGCGGTGCAGTTTCCTGTTAACTCGACTGCCTTTTTGCACATTTTAGTTTTGAAGGAAGTAAGTACATAAACACCCAAAGTTGTGAGACTAACAGAATTTCACCCTCCCTTTCAAGTTTCCTACAACAGTATAAAAGGAGCCGAGGGAGGAAGGGGAGAAAGCAGTTAATTTACTTTTTTCATTTAGGCTCTTCCCTCTCCTCCCTAGCAAAAGACCCCAAATAGGTGTGAATATAGGCTGGCAGCCCTTGCAAGTCTGGCTTTAATATTCCTCAAATGTGGTACTCATCCTGCAAGAATCTCTACTTCGAAACTTTGACACCAGGAGAGAATGACTCAAAATGGCGGATACAAGACTGGCAGTTCCCCCTTACTTTTAAAATAAGTCTTAGGGAGTTTTAAGGATCCTGAGTTTTCCAATTTACATTGCTTAGGACATCAAGACACAAAGTTCCACAAATGGACGTTGGTGAACTGCAACTTCTTGATTAAAATTCAGAGCACAAAGGCACACTTTTCCATTTAAAATATAATTTAACGAAATTTTATAAAAGTTCTTCTTGGGGAAGTTTGAAAACTAATTTACTCGCTCCTACCACAAATACTGTATAGTATTTGTTCTTCTGTTTTAAAGATGCAGTTATTTGGAGGCTGTGAAAATAATACTGCTTTAAAACAGTCATGTATTTCTTTAAATAGCACCTAAACTGGTGTTCTTTTTTTTTTTTTTTTTAATACAATCTTTCTGCCTTGTAAAGTTCGGAACTGCCAAAGAGAAACGTTGAATCAGATCAAGTGCACGCATGAGAAATATGGAAATGTTTTTACATGTCTAGCTCTCACCCAATTGGAAATGCCTGACACCCCATACAATAAAGTAGCACATTCCAACATAAAAAGCGGTCGGAGACAGAAAGCGCCAGGGTTGAGGTCTTTCTTGCAGCGCCTTTGCCCTCACATCACAAAACGGCTAAAAGTCTCAGAAGACACTATTTTCACTTTTAAAAGAAACGGGATAAACAACATCAAAGCCGCGGGGGTGCTCTCACCGGCCAGCCCAGGTACGCGCTACTCCAGGCAGGGGCGCTGGGCCCGTCCACTAACTCTCAAAGCCCGCGAGGACGCCTCTGACCCTTCCTCTCCAAGCACAGTCCCGAAGGGGAGAAAGAAATTACCCTTTCCAGACCAGACGCCTCGAGGACTGCCGGGGAGGCGAGCGGGCTTCCGGAGACTGCAGCTTGGAGCAGTCCGCGGCGGAGCTGCGCTCCCGGCGCAGGAGGTCGGTCCCGCCCAGCCCGCCCAGCCCGGCCCGCGGCCCCGCGCTGCCCGCCGCGGCTTGCGCAGCCTTATATGTAACGGTCAGCCCGAGCAATCTGTCGCTTCCCCTCCCCCTCCCCCTCCCTTGTTTTTTTCCTTCCAAGAAGCCCATCTACCAGTTGCTGTGTCCTCGCTCAATAATAATTACCTCGTCCGAGAATTAATTATAATAAATGTTTTCTTGATAAACTAACGAGATAATCCGAGGGGCACACGTCCCTTAATTACAGGCCGCCGCGCTCAGCTCTGCTGCTCGTCCTGGCTGATTAATTTTCTGCATGATGGAAAGGAAACAAAACTACGAGGACTGGCGACTGGCCTGCGGCTGGGACACGACGGCGAGAGGCGGAGGGAAGGAGGGAAGGAGGGACGGCGGCAGGGGAAGGCGCCGGGCCGCGCGGGCGGCAGGAACACGAGTGAAAGTTTGTGGCCGCGGGGAGCCAGCTGTGCCACCCGCGGGAGGCGGCAGGAGCGTGCCGAAGGTGGCCCTGCCCATTCATTACCGCGGGCGAGGGCCGGCCGGGCGCGGGGGAGCCGGGGAGGCTGCCTGCCGGGAGGAGTCTCTCCCGCACTCCCCGGCCGCCAGCAACTTGGGGCGGCTGGAGACGCCGGAGGGCCGGGAGCCCCGCGCCGGGGCTGGGGCAGGGCTCGGGCCGGCCCCCTCCGCGCCCCGCTCTGGCGCCCGCTCTCGGGACTCTGCGCGGCCCGCACGGGCGCTGGAACGCCGGGACCCCGAGGCTTCTGCGGAGCGTGCGGCGGACACGGCCCCGGCCCGGGCCCGGGACACTTGTGCCGGGTGCCCGAGCCCGGCCCTGCCTGCCCTGCCCACGCGGCTTCGTGGTCCCCACGCCTGCGAGGCCGAGGCCGAGGCCGAGCCCGAGCGCGGCTCTCCGGGAAGGAAGGCAGAGCCCGGCCCGCGCCGCGCCAGGTGCGCGGGGACCCACCACGCAATCCCCCGGACTCCGGCCTCCTGGCCTCGGCTGGGGCCCCGGCGGGGCCCCGGCAGGCGCCCTCCAGGGGACTTGGGAGTGGTGCTGAGGGGTGCGGAGAAAAGGGAGAGCTGCAGGCCTCGGGAGAGGCCGAGACCTCGCGGCTGCGGCCGGGAGAGGGGCGCGCAGGCAGCCAGGCCGCTCCCGCCGGCTAATTCGCCCGAGTCCGAGCTCGTCCTGAGGGACAGGGACGAGCGGGCCGACCTCACGCCGAGGAGCGCCTGCCTCGTTAGTATTACCATTGTTTCCATCCATCCACCTAGCTACGTCTGCATCTTTTTGTAACGTCCTTGGGATCCATCCAAACGACCCTCAACCAAATCTGGGGCCCAAAACGCAGAGGTCGCAGAGGTCGAAGGGAGAAGGCCAGGATGGCGTGGACGCAGAAACAAAACCACCCACGAAACCCCTCCCGAGCACCCAGATTAGACTCGCAGGCTTTCGACGAGGATTTGCAGCGGCAGCGACCCCAGGAGCGCGCTCTCTCCCTCCCTCCCGCTCCGCCCTCTCCCCAGATCCTCAGTTTTTCTCAGTGATCCTTACAGTATTACTCTTCCCAATTTGCAAGAAAAAAATACACCAGGTTTCAGAAGAACTCCACACTTGACGATGCGATGGCCCACTGGCGGGGTTGGACGGTGGAGGCAGACAGAGGGACACATCTCGACAGGGTACAGACAGGACGGACGGCACTTACCTTACAGCCGCATTGGAGGTTAGAAAAGAAAAAGAAATCCTTCAAAATCCCAAATATCCAGCTATCCTAAAAGAAATCAAGAGTATTGAGTTAGAAACCTTGCTGTCTTCTCCCTTCTGTAAAAAGTCAAACATAACCAAAAAAATTTTTAAAGAGTACAGGAAGTGAAGAGCGTGGCGCGAGTTGCAAACACGCGTGTGCCCTCCACGGTACATACAAGGTGGTCGTGGTGTGCGAGGGGTGCTCTCGAGATTTTTATTTTTAATCACAGTGGAAGGCGAGTTGGAGCTGAGGCCGGTTCCGCTCTCAGGGAGATTTGCTGAGAAAGCGCCTCTCTGGCAACTTTTTGACGCAAACTCTCCAACCAATGGCAGGGAGAGAATGATTGACACATCTAAGCCTGAGGGAAAATAATAAAAACACACAACGGGGGAGGAAAACAGGCCGCTGCTGCACTGGGGGACGACGAGCAGTCAACAAATCCAGGCCTCTGACATTACCAGAATGTTCTTGAAAGACACTGGGCTCCGCTTAAAATATACATTATGGGCCGGGGCATGTGAACTAATTGTGTAATTAAAATGATGGACAGGGAGATTTTCCCTCACCTTTGAGTCCTCTTCTTCCTCTGCACTCCTTTCCTGTCTTCCTGCTTCTTTTTATTTTAGGAAAGGGAGAAAGGACAACCTAGGAATGTAGATGTCCCGGAAGATGCAGACATTTAAACCCAAGCGGGAGAAGGATGGGAGTGGGGGCCGAGGGGTCCGCGCGCGGCCCTGCGAGGGGGCCAGAAGCGGGGAAGAGCCAGCCCGGAGCTGAGCGCCCGCGCTCCGCAGAGCCGGGCCAGGCGCACTGGGGCCAGGGCTAGGGGCGGCCGGGCGGGGAGGCTGGGGTGCGGGACACGGCCACAGACCCAGACACCAGCCCAGGAACAAACTCTTGTGAACTCTGCTCCTCTACATTCTTTAAGCGCTCGTCCCCAAGCGGGAGACCCGAGCTCCGGGTTTGGGGGAGCTGAGAACCCATGGCAGACGACGGCGCGGAGGAGCCCCCGATCTCAGCCCAGGGCGGGCTGGGGGACACAGCCGGGAGGCCGGGCCTGGCTGGCGCGAGCTCGGCGGAGCCCCGGAGAAAGAGGAGCCTGCCGCAGAACCGCCGCCTCCCGGCAGAACCGCCGGGCTGCGGCCTGGAGCCCCGGACCTGGCCGCCGAGCTGGGCCGAGCCGCGCGCAGCCAAGCTCTCGGCCCGGCGCTGCGAGCCCGCCCCGCGCCCCTGGCAAAGCAGAAAGCGCCTGGGCGGAGTGCTGCGGTGCGGGTGGGGGCCGGGCACCGCGGCTCGGGCGCGGCCGCCGGCGGGCTGGGCTGGGCTGCGGGCTGCGCTGCTCGCCCTGCGCCCCGGGCAGAAAAGGAAATACCCCCCCACACACACACCGCCACGGCAAGTGGGCCCCGGAAACAGCTCGCTGCCTTCAATTTGGGGACCTATGTTAATGAAGTTGGTAATTAATTCGTCGCTTTGTTGTCGGTTCTTACACTGTATGTGTAATCAAATGTGGCCGTCCTTGGGATTTCCAGCAATTAGCGAATTACGGAGAGCGCGCGCGGCGGAGGCTCCCGACGCCGGGTCGGGCTCGCGGCTCTGCCCGCGCAGGTGTCCCGGCCCCGCCGGCCGCAGCCCGCCCGCGAGGACCCCGGCGGCCGCGTCCCCGTCCCGGGAGGCACGACTTTCGGGGCCCGGGCTGGGGGAGGGTGAGTACGCGCCCCGCCCCCACCGTGCCCAACACCTGGCCAGGCCCCGCTCGTCCCCGGAGGGAGGGACGGGCCAGCGCCCCGGGCAGTGCGTCCCGGGTAGCGCGGGCTACCGGGACACTGCCGGTGCCCGGGTCACAGCCACGACGCCTGGCACCCGCGCCATCCCCTAGAGGACAGGCTCCTTGTGCCCCCCACCGGGAAGAGACGGGCTTTCCCCCAGTTTGACCGTAGTGACAACGAAATCATCAAAGAGAGAAAAAGGAAAATGAACTTCGTGGATCGGGCGCGGGGAGGCCTGGGGGCACTGAAGGGGTGTGGGCAACAGCAGGCGCGCGCGCTGGGGATTTCCTCGAAGTGAGAAGTGTCGGGCTGGGAGATCCCTCTGCGGGGAATCCCTGGAGTCCAGGGGGTGGTTTAGGACGTGGTCAGGTGCTCAAGCGGCCGAACCTCACGGGCGATGCGGGGCTCCTCTGGCCAGGGCGGGTTGCTACGCGTGGGGCGTGGGAGGGCATCCCCTTGGCAGCGCCGGCCGCACACAGTCCAGCTTCTCCGGTGCCCTCTCGTCTAATAACTTCGCCGAAACACCGGCCAATAAACCACGGGGTGGAAATGGACAGTGTTAAATAAACAAGGGTCTCTTTAAAATTCTCATCCACTTCAGATGTCTAAAGTAAGATTGTGATGATTTTGTCACGGTTTGGTAAATTTACCCCTTTAAGAGGCTTTCATAAATCCCAGAACACACCTTCAGCCAGATTTGAATATAGATTTAGGTTTTAAAACCCAGAAGCTGGAAACACCGCTTTATCAAAGAGAATTTCCCTTTAGCTTAGCAATGTGCTGAAGCTCTTAAAAAGATTGGATCTGAGAGAGAGGGTGAGAGAGGGAGAGAGACAGAGAGGAGAAAGGGAACTAAGGGAGACGGAGATGCAGACTGGGTGGGGGGCTTTCTGTTTCTTTCTAGAAGATTTCTGCCCAGACTCTGCAGCAGTTGGTAGCAGGCAAGCTTTCTCCTGGGTGTCACTTGGAAAAGTTGCAAAATTGCTCTTCACCTGTAAGAACACGCTCTTTATCTTCCAGTCTCTTCTTGTCAATTTGGAAACTGCAGACAGCCCGGCTCAGGTACAGTTTCCACAAACCCTCCTCCAGGTCAGGACAAAAGCCACGAGCTGGGGGTGGGGGCGCCGGGCTGTTTCACTGAAAACCTTAGAGGCTTGATGGGAGAAAAAGACTCGGGGATGAAAACTTCTCACTCTTGATTTCCAGTAAGTTCTTGAACTTCCAATATACTTACTGTCTGTTCGTTGCATTTCCTTTTGCTGTGTTTCACTTTCCTTCCCTGTGTCTGTCTGTCTTTTTTCCCTATAAATCCAACTTAAGATAGCATGCTTTGTATTTTTAAATAATTTTCATGAACAAGTGGATTGTTTTTTAACTGGCATGTGTAGATTATATTAGTATGCATATAAGATATAAGTATGCCCAAGCTAAAGGAAAAACAATACACAGGAAATCAAATTAGTTTTCAAAGCTTGCATGCAGTTTCCAACATACAGCTGATATTTATATTTTGAAAAATCCAGATTCATATTTAGCCCTAACTAGGCTGGCTTTCACCGCCCTACATGCCAGGCCAGTTTAAATATTCCAAACTTTCCCCCCCAAGTTTATTAACTATCAGGAGGGTCCGAGGGAGGAAGGAGAGAAGTAAGAAGAGATCCAGGGATTCTTCCAAGCTAATTAAAAAAGAAGGAGAAGAGCAAAACCTATATTCTGTGAAAACATAGCCTCTTGGGGGAAAGGAGCTAGTTAAGAGTCCCTGAACACTTACTTCCGAAAGATTAATATCCAATCTTTTCAGCAATTTGATGGATGGTGGGGGACCATGTTTTGCCTTAGAACAACCACAATAACTCTAAAAAAGCCATTTGAGTTTTAAATATTACTTTGTTACAAACTTCATCAAGATTAATTTTGATTAATTTTTAAATGCGAATTTAATACTAGCAATTTAGGCAGAATTGGGAGGAAAATATAAAGCAACAGATCTCTTATGAGTTAGGCTTGGGTAGCTCATTCCTTGTTTTGCAGTTGCCTCGAAAAAGAGTAAAGGAGGAAAAAACAACTTCAAAGATAGGATTGTGCTGTCTTGATAAAAGAGTAGGAGGCAAACTCCAAATGCAAAAAAGAGGAAAAGAGGACCATGTTGTTCCGGACTGAAATGGATTAAGATTGTGTGACAAGTGTGAGATGTGGGGCTGGGAGACATTTATAGCTGAGTGCGAGCCGCGAGCTATGCGGTTGCTCCGTCGTGTGGGCCAGGGGTGTGCACAGAGCAGTCGGGGTGAGGCAGAGGAAGCTAGCTGGAGTGTGAGAGATGGAGGTGTGTGTGTGTGTGTGTGTGTGTGTGTGTGTGTGTGTGTGTGAAGGACTGATGAATAGTGGTAGCTGTCAGTTTACATAATTTTCATCTCCTGGTCCAGAAGTTTTCTTGAAATCAATTCTACTGCAGGCAGCAGCCTTGAGCTTACAGAGCTGATATAAAGCAACCATTACAGTCCAATATCTTTCTTGCCTGTTTGCAAACTTCATTTAAAACTGGGGGGAAAAAGACCCAGGAATGGTTTTGTAAGAAAGAAAAAGAAGAAGAAGAAAAGAAAACCACAGTGAAGCTTTAAACTAGTTTGGATAAATCTCTAATCTTTTATTTGTAACCTTTTACAAGCTTTATTTCCCGTATATGAAAAGCTTCTTTCATATGGGCACGGCAGACTTTTCCTTGGGATTTTTAATTAGAGCCCATCAATTGTAGCCATATTTAAGAATCAATATAAAGTAATCCTTCGAGATGGGATAAGGTTTTAATCGAAAATCTAATTTCCCACTCTTTGCAGATCATTTTAGGGGGCTGGTTGATTCTTTAAAAAAGAGTTCAATATTTAAAAGACATAACACCTAAAACCCAGAAAAGATCATGTCTGCAAGAAACCAACTGATGCTGCCTTACAAAGAAAGTCTGTTGTCAGGAACTTTTTTTCCTACTTAGAAGAATTTGACATATTTTTCAACCACTGTTCTCTACTGTGACTCCTATGAAAGTGCACACATAGACTGGGAAGGGGAGAAGAGAAATTATTTTTTTTCAAAACGGTGTATCAGATGCAAAAAAGAGTAACCTAAATTTTTTATCAACAAAGAAAACATAGGTCTTGACAGATCCCTTCACTACATGCTCCTCAGTTCCCAGGATTACACAGTGAATAGCACTCACTTTTCATTTCTGTTTATAAATCCCAACTTCCCACTTTTATATTCAAGAATGAATATTTCTGACCAATTTTAAAACTTCACATTTAGAATTGACAGTCTTTTAAAACAATGAAAAAGTTGCTTAAAGGCATAGAATTTTGAATAGTTCTATCCGAGTTGCTGAATTCCAATTTGTGTTTTTTTAAAAAGGCAAATGAAAGGAGGAAGAACACAGACAAAAACTAACTGCAGGTGCATAGTCCTGACACTTTTTTCCCTCCCGAGTATCAAGTTGAGATATTTGGCCAAATATCTAAATCTTATCGTACATTTTCATTATTCACCACGTCAAAGATCTGCAGAGCATCTCTAAACTAGAAAGGACACCCTCAAAAGTTTACAGAGGTATTTTCAGACAGTTCCTGTGTTTGCTTTTGTTGTTATATCTGTTAAGTGCCTTTGAAAAAACCCCAAACTCTTCGTGCTTGCTTTTTAAAATCTGAACGAAGTACGGTTGAACATGTTTGATACTCATGATTTTGTCTGCAGAAATTTCAGTTCATTTAAAAGCCTGGCGTTTAATACCACATGAATTTTAGAGAAACCCTCTTGTATTTCTCCGTAATCGTGTCTAATGAAAACCTGGGATTTTCCACTATTAAAAAAAAGTGAAAATATAATGCATCTTCATTAGGAAAATTGACTGCTGTGCTCGCGACGGCTCTTAATTGAAAAGGCAACCTATTTTAATGGTGTGGTTGAGCAGAAGATTACATACTTTATCCAAACACAAAGACAATTAATAATGAGAAGCAGGCTGCTGCCATTAGCTCTAATGCAGTTGCATCAATGTCAGCGAAAAGTGCTCGTACCTGAGACGCTCCGTGCAAACTGCCTGGCTCCCTCCTTCCCAAATTCACCCACTCCCGACCTGGGCTTTCTCGGGGTGCAAAGCGCCCGCGCCGGCTGTGCTCCCGCGGGCTCCCAGGGCCGCGCGCGGGCCGCCCGCCCTCCCCGCGCCCGCGTCCCGACCCGGCCCCGCCCGAGGCTCCCGCTGCCGCGGTGCGCAAACCTCGCGCCCGTCCGCTGCGCGCGCGGAGCCCGGAGAAGGCGGCGGCCCGCGCGCCGGGGACGGCTGGGGACGCTAAGGGCCACCGGCTCCGCGCCGAGAAGTTTGACGGAGACAGTACTGGGTTCCTCAGAGACGGCTCTGCTCTGATTCCTTTCTGGGAAAGTTATGGGGGATGGTGTAAAATCGAGGCTCTGTTCGGCGAGCGCCTCCTGAACGCAGTCTTCCGGCCGAACAACCAACTTTCCCCCCGCACCCTCCCGGACCTCGACCGGGCCACGAGCTGTGCGCGTGTGCTCGCGCGCGTGTCGGTGCCTGCGCGCGCCCGAGGACGGAGAGGGGGCGTCCGGGCTCGTGGGGACCCAGCATGTCCGCGCTGCGGGCCGGGAGGCCACGGTGGCCCACGAGGACCCAGGGGGCCGGCTGGGGACCCTGGCGGAGCGGGCTGGCGCCCAGTGCGAGCCTGGTCTGGGCCCGGGCATCCTTCGGTGGGACCTTGAGGGCTCTCCCTGCCCTCCCGGGCCACCGGCTCCCAGAGGCGGCACAGGTTGGGCCCAACTCCCAAGTGGCGTCTGCAGGAGACGCCGGCTAAGGGCCGGGCCCAGCGGGCTAGGGTAGCCCAGGCAGCCTCTCTGTTCCTCTGCTGCGGCCTCCCGTGGCTGGGCGTGCACAGGGCGCAGCTGCAGGTTCGGGGCGCACCCAGACTAGGCCGGGCGTCGCGTCCCTTCACTCAAAGGCTGTGGGGAGCCGCGCTTCGGGGCATTCTGACCCGGCTACTCGGCTACTCGCGTGGCCCAGCCACACGCAGCGCCTGGGAGGTGTATTGAGGGCCGGGGCCAAGGAAGAGGGTCTAGAAGAGGAGGGAGAGGGTAGACTGACTTCCCAGACCGCCCGAAGGGTGCCCACACAGCGCTCCAAGGGAAAGAAGAAACGAGGGCCCCTTTGTCCAAGATCCAAGGTGACACCTTTCCCTGCCTTGAGCCCCGCAGGAAATTTCCTTCCCCTGGATGCCCACTTCCCTCTGCAGCCCTCAGCGGCCCACAGCCAACACACCCGATTTCCCGCCTGCTTCTGCCCATTCATCTGCAGACTTCCTGCAGACTCGACGCTTTTATGCTTCTCCCGTGGTCGGGAAGCCCCTAGAAGGCTCTGAAGACCAGCAGGCTGCAGTTTTCCGTGAGTTCTCCAGGCTCCTCTGCTCCCTCCCCTAGGGCAGGTGGGTCTTTAGGTGGTGCTAACCTCGGGTTGAGGAAAGCCAACTCGGAGCTACAAGGTGTGATCCAGGAACCTTCTGGCTCCTTTCCCACCTCAGTGGCTGAGCAGTCTTCCTGCACAATGTATCCAGAGCTGTCCCTGTTCCTTAGCATTTTTCAGATGGCAAAAGTACAGTTCTCCAGTCACTATTCATCAAGGAAGCCCTAGTGTCTGCTTTTGGTGAGGGCCAGTGTGTGGGCTGAGGATTACCAAGGAGGGGACCAGTTCTTCTAGCCAAGTGACAAGTGTTTCTCTTTGGGGATGCTTGAACTCTAGGTGTTACTTGCACAACTTAAGAGCAACAGCAGACTCTCCTGTGTTAGTGGATCTGTTTCTTGGCATTTAACCTATGGGTGCTTGGAGGCATCTTTTTAGCACGTGTCTGACTTTGGACATGTGCTCAGTAATGACATTCTTAATCATTTATTGAATACCATTTAAGCTAGTTCAGCAATACACGGTAACTCTTAACCTAAATGCCAGTTCCTGGCAGCTTATTCACCTAGTGAACAAGCAAAAGTCAAAGATGTAATTGCTTCCAATATTTAGC